CTTACACTCACTCATTCACTCACTCCCTCTCGCTTTACGCTTCCCTCTCTTTCTCACCCACCACGGCTTGACTAGCCCACCACCAGTCCCCAACCATTCATCCTAACGTTCTCCTGTCATCCTTTTTCGTCCCCAATCCTTTTAGCTCCTCCCCCCTCGTTTCTCTCTCTAAACTAAAGCACCAAGAGATGGGCTTTTCCAGATAAGGGCAGTGCGCTGACCACTCAGCATTTCCCTCCTCTTCTGATCTTCCTCTGTCCCCCTCCCCCCGGATTCTTCTCTCACTCTTTGCACGCTTCCCCTCTAATCCTGAGAGGCTCTGACCACCGCTTGTCTCGATCAGCTCGTTCTAGAATGTTGAGCGTCGGTGAAGATCACCAGCTGGATCTGTGAAATTATATAATTAAATTCGCGCGTGCGATGGACGCCAAGAATTCCCCTCACTATCAGCCAACGGCGCGCTCTCTGGCAACCGACCACGAGCAGGTCCTGCCCCTGCTGGGAAAACCACCTGCGTGGACGACACCAAACGCCGTTCATCCAGTTGCTATTAATAACCATCCTTATTCCCTGCTCCATCATCCATATACCTATCCGATCGCAACGCCCATTCCTGGTCCAGTACCGGTTCCTGCGCCTCCGCTGCCACCATCCCCGATCTCATCATTACCACCGCAACAACAGCATCAACAACTACAACATCAACTACAACATCCGCCGCCATTACCACCACAACCATCCGCGCCGGTCCAAGGCAGCGCGCCACCCCTCGCAAGTGCAGACTCAACCCGACAAGATGCAAACAAGAACGGAGTGACCAAGGCGCGCAAACCGCGCAAGACCAACAATGCCTCGGGGGGGAAATCGACGTTGTTCTGGGTCCATACCGACCCTAAGTCCGTGTCGGAAGGCACCAGGGAAGAGACTCTCAAGCGCATTCGTTCTCATGTGATGTCCGAGCATAATCGCAAGAAGCGACTGGAAAATACCAAGCGGTACAAGAGCAAGACCTGGAAGCACCTGGCTTTTCAACCGGTAGAGACAACGGCCTCCAGCTCGGCGGCGGCGGCAGCAACCTCGGCCTCTCCCACGAACCTTTCACCTAAGCAAATCGTTACCGAGTCCTCTTTTGGGGCTCGAATCACCTCTGAGTCGCCACCCCCATCCTCCTCTTCATCCGCTTCATCATCACCCGAACAGCGACATCGAGAGGAACCGCAAAATGCGTTGGTGGTCACGGAGGCGAGCAGTTACTCGGTTGTATCAGCGGCAGCCGTGAACAGTTACAGCATTGACGCACCAACCTCGAACGAGCTTTCGCCTGTGCAGGTGGCATCTCCGTGGGCTCTGGTGGGTCAGGGAGGCAGCGATCCCTTCAATACCTCGCATACGGTGTTAACGGACCGTATGTCGGGGCACCTCCAACACTGTAAGTGTAATTGACCGCTGTTTTGGTGTGCATGAACCTAATTGTGCCGTCGCAGTCTTTGAGTTGACGCAGATATCATATCCGCTGCAACGCCGGTATGGGCCAAAGCTGAGGGCTCACTGGGCTGCGTTAGTCCAGCAGGACCCAGCTTCGTTGCATGCTTGCATATGTGTCGCAGCATCTAATACTGCTCTGGAGCAAGGAGAACTGCCCTTAAGAGACCCGAATGAGCGGCGATCCAGTGCGCTACTTCTCGATACCTTCCATCATCGAGGTGAAACAATTCGCCTGGTCAACGAAGGACTTTCTGACCCGATCAAAGCGTCCAGTGACGAATTGATCGCAGCCGTCTCTATTCTTCTAACCATTGAGGTATGTGCCTTCTTCCGATGTCCAACCAGGCCGATGCTAACAGATTAGATTGCTTCCGGCAATGCTGATTACCTGAAGATCCACCTTGCCGGGTTGCGGCAGATGGTCGGTATGCGGAACACCTTCGCAGACGTGCCACCTGATGTTCGATTCCAGATTACATGGTCAGTTCCACCGCACCAATGTTTTGTCCGCATGTGTTCTGACTTGACATAGGACGGATATTCGAGTCGCATGCATGGCTTCCACCAAGCCTATATTTCCTTTCATTCGTTACGCCCGTCCTCTGCATTTAGCGCTCCAGCCTCCAAGCAAAGATCTTGAGCTTACCGCCTCGCGCTTGATACAATTAATTGAGATACCCGGCATCTTCGGCGGTGCCATGTCTAAGATCATATGGGACCTGGTTGAGCTGACCTGGTACTGCGAATGGATCAAGAGCGGGCCGAGCTACCAAGACTTCGACGAGGAGACCGAGGACTACTTCAACACCGAAGTGCTCCACGTTGAATACGCCCTTCATACGGATCGCTTCACCGGTACCGGCGAAGTCAAGGGTGATGCCACCATCGAGGGCTGCGTTCGACTGGCTTGCTTGCTATTCCACAACAACGTCATCTGGAATTTCTACCCGGTGGTCGCACCGGTCTTCCCCAAGCCAATCATCAACCTTCGCCTGGCATTAGAGACGACGATGAAAGCCGGTTATTTCGAGCTGTGTCGCGACGTCTTGATCTGGATTTTATTCATCGGGGCCACCAGCTCCGGCCTGCTGCCGGATCGAGCCTTCTTTGTGAATGAGCTCGCAATCGTGCTGAGGCAAGAAGGAATTCAATCGTGGCAGGAGCTCCGCGCACTTCTGCTGGGATTTTTCTACGTGGATCGGTCCTATCTCCAGCCGCTACGGGAGTTGTGGGAAGAGCTCCACACCATGCCGGTCGTATCGCCGGAGTGTATATAAGGGGCCTTTCTTCTTCTGGGGGTTGATACTTATGTTTATATATAGGGGCTTCACAGCATGTCGGTTTCATATGCACATGTTCTATGTATGATATACTAATGAGATGAGACATGGTATATATGGTTCAGGGTCGTGATTTATTTGGTTGTGCCATACCCCCCTTTGCTAGCATAATGTCTGTTTATAATATTATTCCGGATCATACCACCAGTTCATCCGTGTTTCCTTCCATCGATTGATGCAACCCAGATTGATTGGCAGTGAAACCAGCCAAGAACCAACTCAATCCGCAGCAGCGCCGAGCAAAGCCCTGCAGCACCCATCCACCTCTTTGAGGCTAGAAGGAAGAGGGGAAAATCCCTCACCCACATGTTGTTCGAGGACTAGGCCAAGTCACAGCCCAATCTTCAGCACAAAATAACCTCAAAAACCAGAGCCCAGAAGGTCTTGGAAGATAAACGCATTCCCAGCAGAATCATGCTCAACCAATTTCCGAACCACAAAAAGCAAAGAAAAAACGAAGCCTTCTCTCATCTCCCTCCGATAACTTCCGACTAGAGAAGTGCCTCTAAGTATTCTACCTAGTAGGGTAAGGTACGGAGTAGTCTTTGAAGAAACGAGCGGGCGCGGCGCCAGGCCGGACTTGAGGTGGACTAGTTGCAGGGCAGCGGCGGCACACCACACGGGGCGGGCGCCGCTGGGCCTGTCAAGTTTCGAGGTCTCCCCGATTTTCCTCCGCCCGACCGAATCCCGCCCGATCTCCGACCTTGCTCCGAGAATCCTTTTTTCGCAAAGTAGAGAAAGAAAGAATTATTGATTGACTGAGTGAGGTATTATTATGCCGCCCTCTCCCCCAGGCGCCCCGTCCTTCGGGGGTCGAGTGGTTCTATTTCTTTCTCTCTTTTTTTTCCTTCTTCGTTCTCTTACAAACTGGGTTCTTCATGGTTCTTACCGCTGATACTCAGCTACTACAGCTACTACAGCTCAACTCCAGATCCAGCTGCTGTTGTTGTGGTCGTTTGCTCACTCACTCTTGCTATACATCTGCTATACAAAACAACTAACCTCCAGCTTACTGACTACGTCCCCTAATACAGTATCAAGAAAGACAGGACGATCGGCACGGACGGCCTTTCCTACCCACCTCACTTAGGTCTACTTCTTCCTACTTATCGGTTATCACTCGATTGCTACGCTACATCTGTGGGCCTACCCTCCACCACTACAATGAGGTCGCCGTTGGTCCTTGCTCGATGGTCTTGGCTCCAGCTTTATCAGGGCTTCTTTTTCGTCCAAGCTCGCTGTCGTTGTTGTTCCTCTAGACTTCGCTACCTATCTACCTTTCTCGTGGCGGTCCTAGTGAAAGTATAGGGGGCGGTGGTTACGGCCGAATCGGACTGGACTGATTATTCAACGAATTGACCGGCTGACCGACCGACTGACTGACCAACCGGTTCACAAGCTACCGACTGGGCTTTACTCGTGCAGTTGCTGTCTGGAGGCTGGATGGGGCCGCTTGAAGCAGGCAGGCAGGCAGGCATAGTCATGCCAGAAAGCTTAAGCTTAGTGGAGGCTCGGCCCGGCCTGCGCGGTGATCGCCCGAACTATCACCTGTCACCGCAGTGCTCCGCCCACTCGTCGAGTCGACGAACAACGAACCGGGATTTGGCTGCTACGCCACGACGAGGGTACATCACCTGTCTTGGTGTTGAGATGATTGATCATTCAGATTGCCGGACAACACTTTCAACAACCTACCCGCAAGCTCGATCTATGATATTTCGCCGAGTCGAGCGTATGTTGAATGTCATCATGCCGCAAGCAGACTTGCTGACACGCATGATCATGGTACGGATGACTGCAGGTAATGCTTGCTGCAGTAAGTCAGACAACCTACACCAATTCAACTACTTGCTAAAATCACTTCCATAATAGTCATTCGAATCATTCATTGAGCAACTGTGCATATCAAAAACAAAACTCCAAATCATCGTCCACGACAGCGGACTGCCTCATTATTACCCGATCGGTTATTTCCATATCCAGTTGGAATCAACAACAGTGACAAAAAACAATTAATATACCGGACAACAACCCCGTGCGAAGGCCGACACTGCGAACCACTCGCTAAACAGGACGGTCCTACATGAATGGGTATCAGAATTATAACAATGGCATGTTCATCGGAACATAGCAAAGCCGCTTGCAGGGCCTGGGACTATACGAGTGCTGCACCCCTTAGACCGTCTCGCGAGCAGTCTTCTGGCGAGAACGAGCGGTCGGAGACCACGGGAAGTGGGCGACAGGGATGATAAAGAAGCTGTTGCTGCTGTCGGCAATACCCGCCAGGGCGTTGTACCAAGCAGCGAAAGCAGCCAGGAAGCCGAAGAAGCCACCAGCCTTGATGACAGGGGTGTTGACCTCGTTGGTATCGGTGCGCTGCAAGTATCCAATACCCAGGAGCAAGAAGGTCAAGTCCAGGAAGAAGAACAGCAGGAAGAAAGCAACGGTCGAGCGCAGGGTGCAGAACAGCATGATGGTAGTGAAGATGAACCAGCCCTGTGGAACAGCAGTCAGCACGAGGTTTGCGGTTTGCGGTTTGCGACGGGTTTTCTGCGGCACTTACCATGAGGAAGAGACCCATCGAGTTATAGAACATCGTAGCACCGCCAGCCGATTCAATCGCAGACTCGATATCGAATCCACCGGGAGTCAAAATGATCGCGAAGGAGATCCAGAATCCGCCATAAGAAGACAGAGCAGTGGCACCGAAAGTGTTTCCAACCGCCATCTCCCTGAATGCAGTGTGAGCGAGGACGATTAAGGATGAGACGACAAGAGATTGCAACATACCACATGCCAGCAAGCAGCTGAACGAGACCACCATATCCAAAAGCCAGGCCGACGACGATGTTGGGCGCGGAGATGCCCCGGGTTCCCATGTTGATCGCGCTCAGGACGAAAGTGGTGAGGGCGAAAGCGCAGAGACCCAGAGGAGCCGGGTTGGCGAACTTGCGACCTTCGACCGACTTGTACAGACCAGGCTGGAACTCTCCTCCGAAGGGACGCAAGTTGGCCTCGGCGGTATTGACGTGAGCCATCGGACCATAGCCGAAGCGCGCAGCAGCTCTAGCCGTCTGCTCCTCAGTCAACTCGTGCCTGAGGGGAGCAGTTCCGTTGCTCTCGGTCTCGGGACCGATGTCCTTTTCCAAGGTAGGGTTTTGCTCGACCGACATATTGATTGATTGATTGAACCAGAATCTATGGTTTATACAGGTATAAGGGGGTATCAATTGATCTCGAGGAAATCAGGAATAGCTCAGCTAGCTGAGAGGTGGAGGAAGAGTATTATAGATGAAACAGGTGAGGGGAGGAGGAGGAGGAAAGGAAATATATGAAGCCACACAGCACTGCTGGGCAGATGAACAGGAAAATCTCTTGGGAAGGTCTGGGGCCGTGCAAGAGAAAAAGAGGAATAAATACCAGCAATGAGAGGGGGAGAGGCGAAATAAGAAGGGCCTCGGGGGAACTGGAACGAGGCGTGGTGCTTGGATGGACGGACGGGCGAGACACCACGGACGAGCGAAGGTTGCAGGGGAGGAGCCAGGGAGAGGGAGGACCGTTCGTTAGCAAAGTTTAGCTTGGGTAAGTGGACTCTTTTCCTTTGGTGGTGATTAATTTTTTGTTTTTTTTTTCCTTTGCTTGATTTTATTTTTCTGTTTTTGATCTTTGGGGAAAGACCTCGAAGGGGGAGAACAGCCAATCTCTTTTTTGGGGAGGGGGGGGAAGGAGAAAGTCTCACCGTTGAATTTTAGGCAGTGTGTGACTGTGATTATTATCATTTTATTATTATCATTATTATTATTACGGTAGTATTATTACTACAACGAGTCAATGACCCCATCATGCTTTGCTCGTGATGGAAGGCCGGGGTGGAGCGAGCCAAATTAGTGTTGGTCTTCTAAAACGATGTGCAGGAATCCACCTGACGGGCCACTCCCGTATGTCGCTTTTGTCGCTTTGCCTAAACCGACGGACTGACTCTAGGGAATGTGTGGTGCGGTTGCTACTGCTCGACGGAGTGACCAGATTCGTCAATTGAAACCGGTGACAGTCAATTCAAAATCTATCAATTGCAGGGCAGCAAGCGGGGAATTGGGGTCTGGGGTCTGGGGGAAGGAAGAAGGACCGCTGGCTCGTCTCAACGGAAACCCAATGCAGGGTCAGGATGAAAGGGAAAGTTTTGGCTTCCATTCGTCCAGGTAGAGAGAGAGAGAGCGCAGGCAAAAAAACAAAAAAAGGTTGGAAGGGATTTTCCCAACCTTACAGCTCTAATACCGATTGACTTTTCATGCCTGGGGAAACCAAGCCTGGAGGCGTGGGTGGAGCCCTAAGAAGCGCCCGAGGTCCGGGAATAGCACCAATCACCACCTCCTAATCAGGGCCACCGGCATGGCCATTGGCAGGCGGCCTCCTCCCCGCCGGATGACATGGAGATGACATGACCGGTACGGTATTGTAACGGATAGACGGACGCACCGGAGATATCTCCAATTGTTCCAGTTGCTCCAGTTGCATGCCATCTTTTTGTCTACCAATCTTTCCCTCCTCTCAGCCAGCCCATGGGGTTTTGGAGAAGTCCCAGATTCCCGCTCGATGCGGAATGCGGAGTGCCCGCCTGCTTACTTAGGTACTGATCAGGACACAATTAGCGGCCTTTAATTTGGATGTTTTTCCTCTCTGGAAAGTCCCTGATGGGATGGATGGTCGTCCAAATGTCCACCAATTTATGCCTCAATCTAAATTCCTGCTATTAGTCTACTTTTGTACTGTACTACGTTAGACTCCGACGGGCGGCTAGGACCCTGGAAAAGAAACCACTTACGCACGCAAAAGTCCACTTATTAATAATCTACTTTCTTTAGTCGGTTCGTAGTCGGTTCGTAGTTAACCAGACTATCCTCCCGGAAGCTGCACAGCTTAACAATACTGCCGAGTGGTGACAATGGTGAGTGCGCTGATGTCCCCTTCACCTCAAATCGATCCCAAATGGCTTGGGGGGAGGGAGGTCGTCCCTTGGGCCCTTCGGATGGGGCTGATGAGGTTTACCATGGCACTTCTCAATCCAAGGTACCAACCAGGGTTACTTCCATCAACGAAGATTTGTCCATAATTGCGACGGTGGTGGCGGGCAAGGGTTTCCCGAACCAGACTTTCTGGTGTCCCTTCCGTCCGAACGGGCAGGGAAGATGGTACGGGCCCTCCCTCTAGGCACTTCACCGTCGCAGCTGGCAGTTTTCGTACAGCAGACAAAGATCTTGTACCGGAAAATCTTGCAACTATTGTTACTGTACAGTCACTGCAGTTGTACCTGCGCTTGAACCGCCCCGGGTCCGGCGCGCCCACTTTCGCCCACAGGCTAAATGCTGGCTAATGCGGTTAATTGGGTCCCTTCCCTTGCTAATGGCTAGGCTATGGACCGCGGCGAAGGATGCAGGCTGTAGACTAAAGACTAAGAGAGACTGAGTGGGTGGCCCGGTGGTGGGACTTTCCGTGCGCTGGTGCTGCTGCAACTGCGACGGGGCCTTTTTGCACTGCTACGGATACCCTCGGTGACTTTAACTGCTACTGTCCTAGCCAGTCGAGTGTCAAGTTTTCTGGTATGCTACTACTCCTACTGTTTGCTAGACTGTCATTTTTGTGTGCTAGAACTGCTAGTGGTGGATCGGCTCCCCGAACCATACCTACCCAAAACTTCCCGAGTCTCGAGACCGAGCCGAGAGGGCCTTGCTTGGTTTGGGTCTAGATATGGCGGGGGCGAAGAGAACCCAGTTAGTAGATTATCTTAATGTATGCACTTTGGTGCATAGTTAGGGGATGGTGGGTTTAGTTTAATCATCCTTTCTGTGTGCCTGGTATAACTTGTGTATGATTGTCGATGGAGTACGTACTCCGTAGCGTAGCTGAGCTACATGTAGGTAGATCGCACACAGTCCGTTGCTTTACATAGTACGTACGGGTATGAGTAGCTTATGAGTATGTGTAAGGACTGTATTTAAGAGTAACTTGAAGTCGGATCGTCTCTGCCAGCTGTCGCAGCGAGGTCGATCGGTTGACCAGGAGAGTTAGTTTGCGGTCGTCCGTCCACCAACTTTACACTTTACTAATCAAACCACAACCCAGAAACGCTCAAGTCTGCTTTCCTGGGTGGACAGCGGACAGTACAGTACTATGAATATGTAAGACCCACGATCAGCATCAGAACTTAAGAGGCTTAGCAGCTCAGCAAGCAGCTCTACTGCGGTGGAATAATGAAAGCTCCGGGCGTGAAGGCACATAGTAGGTCTCACCAGTGCACCATCGGCTCCAGAAGGGAGATTTCCCCGTCAGACTAAAACACCACCCGAAGGCAAGACTAGTTTATCTGGGTCCTATCCGATAATCTTTTTTTTTCCCTGTGTTGTTGTTCCATTGACAATAGGCAGTGTGTAGGGCACAGACACAGACAGAGTCTTACCTTTGTGACTAATAAGTACTACGTTTCTCCCACGGACACTCAAATCATCCACCACCTTGATTTACCATTTTTCTTTGGTGGTGTATTCGTCTCCGTCCTACTTGTCTCGAATCGTAAGTGTTTGCGGCAAGGAAAAAGAACTGGAACCGCGTCGAGAGGAGCTCCACTCTCGGCGACCGTTTCTGCCGCTCTCGTCGAGTTTTGTCTCTCTTTGGTCAAAACTTAGAGGAGAGTAGCACGCGGGCGGGCGGGTTCGGCGGGTTCATCGTGTTCCAGTTGCCGGTCACCACCACTACCACCACCAGACACGCCAACTCATTAATTTTGATTGTTATAATCTATCGGCAGGCGGCAGTCGCAGAATCAGGACTAAGACCCCCTTTTCTATCCCTTCATTTCACTGTCAGAGCAGCATGGCGTACGGAAGTCCAAACAAGCTCACAGAGACAGGAGGCCCGCTCGGGAATCGCAACCCACACCGCAGGCTGTGGCCATTGCTCGGTTTTTAAAGGAACTGTCAAGGTTGATGCTGGTGGTCGTAGATGTACACAGTATGGAGTCAGATCTTTTTCGCGATCGCTAGTAACCACCCGCTACGGAATGATAGTCCAATCAGTGATCCACCCTTCACAATCACAAGTACAAGTCCTGCACAAGTAGTTGCTGAGGACTTCAAAGCAGTTGGGTCTGCACCTGATTCTCCCTGCCAGTGTCCGTCAGTCAGCTGTCAAAAACGAAAGACACCAAAGGGTGTGAGATCAACAAAGGCATGGCTACATGCATAAATAACATCGGTAACAAATCACCCTTAATTTGCTTTCTCGTGTCCTCATACCGGTAACATTACCTGATAATTAAGCTGCGCAACACAGCTAGCATGCACATTCTTCCCCCCCTTGGTTCTTTTACTGACAGTCAGTCAGCCTCGTATGCTTGATCATCCAGCACGAGGGTTTCTTTTCCCGCGGGAATAACAATACGCCCGCCCGGCGTATGCCTAGCCTACTATACAGTTACCTACTGAGCATATTCGGCGGCATATTTGTTACCTTAGCAACATTCAGTCGCAGGCATGCCCTTCGCTTACCTGGCGAACTTTCGAACTTTATTATAAACATTGGGGATTGTCTTCATCGTTTTCAGAATAGAAAGTGTCAGCAGCGCTGTCCACCTCGACTAAATTATTTTTTTGTTTTGTCGCATTACAAAAAGTTGTGTAGACTTCTAGACTTTTTAGATTCCTGCTAACTCTAGCTCCTCGGTTGAATTTCCCCCCCCAAAAAACAAGGATTGTACGGTTGTACCTGGTACCTACCGCACCATTCGCAAACCCTGCGGTAGGAATACGCCACGGTAGTAACTAGTACCTAGACCAACACCTCTAGCTACGCCGACCAGCTAAGTAGCGAGCTAAGTGGGCAGAGTACAAAGGCACACACTCCTCTTGTCCCACCACTAGATTCACAAGGAAACCCGGCTCTGACTCCGGAAACATGAACCAATCTCTGTTGGTAACTTGGTGCGAGTCCACTTGAACACTTTTGTGTAGACTACGTACTCGGGTATTTCTCCGGGTCGAGATCGTGGACCGATCGATGCATGCATGCTGCCAAGAGAAGAGGGTCTTTGCTATTTAATCTCCCCGGTGCGAGGATCACGGCGTCCCTTGGGTTTGGTGCCTAGCGAGGTACTGTACTGCTCGCCTTTTCCAAATTGTGA